CCCTGTGTTTCCCCACCCAGGCAGGGACTGGCTGCCAGCCCTTCTGGCTATGGGCCCCTCACAGAGCTTCCTGACTGGACTTTCGCCGGTGAGCCTTGATGTCAGGTTTCTCCTTTTTCCTCTGAGAGACCGACCGCCCCGGTAGGGATTGGGGGCGTGTCTGGGAAAATATTGAACCTTTTACTTAGGAAAAGAGTTTGCGGAAAGGAGCTCTAATTTTGTCCGACTCCAGAGCTGGGTGTGGTCCCTCACACCTGAGATCTTCGCTTTGAGGAGCTGAGGGATCGCTGTGAAGTCAGTGCAAGTATGTGCTACTACGTAGGGAGTCCCAGATTATCCTGAATGAGACCCTGTGTATAAATAGACAGATAGTAAATTGGCTAAGGAAGGTGAGCTGTAGTGAGTGGATCATGGCTTGTAGATATAATTCTAACTTGGGCTGTCCTGGGGCTGGAAGGGTGCGTGACTTTTATCTTTTCAGAAGGGGGTATGTGTGGTGAGTGTATTTTTATTTTTATTTTTTTTATTTTTCGAGACAGGGTTTCTTTGTGTAGCTTTGGAGCCTATCCTGGCACTCGCTCTGGAGACCAGGCTGGCCTCGAACTCACAGAGATCTGCCTGCCTCTGCCTCCCAAGTGCTGGGATTAAAGGCGTGTGCCACCAACACCCGGCTGAGTGTATTATTAGAATTTGACTCCACATACACAAGGAATTCTTTGGAAAGGAACACCGAAGATCCCTGCAAGACTGAAGATGACAGACTCAGTTCAGAGAAGTCTTTTTTCTCTTAAAAAAATAAAAAAGATTATGGGGCTGGAGAGATGCCTCTGGTTCATGAACTTCTTCAAAAGGAATTTGGTTTCTATTCTCAATACCCACATGGTGGCTCATAATTGTAACTCCAGTTCCAGGGGATCCAATGCCATCTTCTCACTTCCACCTGTGCCTGGCACCCATTCACATAAAAATAAAAATTCTTTAAGAACATAAAATTAAAAAAGAGTAATGACACATGTAACCAGGAGGCAGGAGGATTGAGAGCTAGGGAACAACAGCCTTGGCTACCTAGTGAGACCTTGCCTCAAAATTCAAAAGTGAGCCCAGAGGTGGTGGCGCACGAACACCGTGCCAACACTCTGGTGGCATAGGCAGGCGGATCTCTGTAAGTTCGAGACCAGCCTGGTCTACAAGAGCTGGAACAGGACAGGCTCCAAAGCTACACAGAGAAACCCTGTCTTGAAAAACAAAAGTGAGCTGGGTGGTGGTGTTGGACACCTTTAGTCTCAGCACTCCCAAGGCAGAAACAGGATGATATGATCTGAGCTCAAGGCCAGCATGGCCTACACATCAAGTTCCAGGACAGCCAGGGATACACAGAGAAACCCCGACTTGAAAGAAAAAAAAAGCCCAAACCTACATTTCATTATACAGTGAGATGAGGTTCAGCAAAGACTCACATTGACTGAAGGGTTTCTGAAGATAAAACAGTGAAATCAGCATTGCAGATGCTAATTCCATGCTAGTGACACAGCTAAATGAAATAATAGGAACATACTTTGGAACTCATTTTTGTGCTTCTGTTGTACCTCACCACTGAAGATGCTACATGAATGTTAGAAAAATTAAGTTGTGAACTGGTTTCTTCAGTATTATTTTTGATGGGCAGTGCTGGGACTGTATGTAACCTGGGCCTCACACATGCTAGCCCCCAGCCCAGCCCTGATGGGTATGAACTGGAAGAAGGGAGCTGGAGACCGACTCTTATCAAATTCCTATCACATCCCAATGTTTGGACAAGATGACCAGCCCACATTTAACACTTGCCTTTTTCTTGCCTCTATCTGTAGATGGCCGTCCTGCTCCCCCAATGAAGGGCCAACTTCGAAGACAAGCTCAGCGGGAGAAGCTTGCAGTGAGTGGTTGGAACTCCAGCAAGGCTATGTTTATAATATGTTTCCAAGGAGGAAAACTTAAATCATCATTTATCTTGTTTTCTCTTAAGATTAACGTTTATATGTATGTGTTTTGCCTCTATGAATGTGTGTTCACCACATGTGTGCCTGGTGTCTGTAGAGTTCAGTGGAGAGTGTTAGATTCCCTGAAACTGGAATTACAGATGGTTGTGAGCTGTCATGTGGGTGTTGGTAGTTGAACCTGGGTCCCATGCAAGAGCAGAAAGTACTCCTAACCACTGACCCATTTCTCCAGCCCCATAAATTATAATTTGTGTTGCACCTGTGCTACTGTTTGGCAGTGCTTGGGATCAAATTCAGGGCTTCCTGCCTGCTAGACAAGTACACCACCAGCAGCTGTATCTCCAGCTAATTATTTATTTAAGCAAACTATATAGACTAGGCTGACCTCAAACTCACAAGAGATGGGCCTGCCTTTGCCTCCATAGTGCTAGGGTCAAAGGATACACCACCCTACCTACCCAAGCCAAGTGTTTTAATGGCACTGTGGGAAGGGAAGACTGGACATTACCCCTTCGCATTGTTACTTCCCTTCTGTCATGCAAAGACTGGTCCAAGGCAGTCAGCAGCATCAGTATCCAGCGGAAAACCTTCGACTTCCGGGAAGAAAGGATATCTGCTTAATGGTACACTTGAGCCCCAGATGTTATTTATTCTTTTCCTGTCTGTTTCAGAGACGAGTTGTACTGCTGACACAAGAAATGGATGCTGGATTACAGGCGTGGAAGCTCAGGCAGCAGAAGTTGGAAGAAGAAAGGAAGCAGGAAAATGTTCTTAAACCCAAAGGGATTTCACTGAGCCCACTTCCACATCAATAAAAAGCAGCTCCGTTCCCACCTTCCCAGACTCTCTGGCTTTCTTTTCTGTCACCTGAATGAATGATTTATCCCATGCAGAATGAAGCTTTTTTTTTACTGCCATTTGTATTGACAGCAAAAGATCTCAGTCACCAAGAGGAACTTAAAATCACTGCCTGGGAGGCTTGGCCCAGTGCCCTTAGTCCTCACTGTATTCCAGTTCAGCCAGATCTTGCTCTGGGGCTATTATTTTACCCCTGATGCTAGAGAACAAACCAAGAGCTGTGCAGAAGCTAAACACGCCACCAACCTACCATGTAGCCCTGTTCTGGGATTTTAATCCTCCCCCATGTTGGCCATAGGGTCAACCCAAGCAGCAGGTGCTCTGTGGAGGAAGAAAAGGGGCGGGACCGTTGTCCCTGCTTTTACCAACATACCTGAGTCACTCATAGCCTGTACACAGCTCAGTTGTATTCAGTTGGCATTTGATAAATGTTTTTGATGAAAAGGGCTCCCCAGGGCCTAGAGACATGGCTTATCAATTAAGAGCACTGACTGCTTTTCCAGGGGACCCAGGTTCAATTCCCAGCACCCATATGGTAGTTCACAACTAATTTCAGTTTCAGGAAACTTGATACTCATGGCAAAACACCAACGCACATAAAATAAAGGAAATCTGTAAATTTAAAAAGAAAACAGGGCTTTTCATCTGAGGTCTTTTTCTTTTTGAGATAGGGTTTCACTGTAGCTCTAGCTGGCCTAAAACTGGCTATGTACACCAAGCTATCTTGAACTCACAAAGATCAGCCTGCCTCTGGGTTTAAAGCCATGTGCCACCACACCTGGCAGACACCTCTGTCTTAACAAGCAACTAGTGTCCAGATACATGGCCCAGGAGACACACACTCCGGAAAGCTGACATAGGAAGAATTGAACTTGTGTATTTAGTCTTCCACCGAAGGAGTTATGTTCTGACTGAATTATAGAGGTTGGTTGAAGAGGGTTCTGTACTTCCTGAACCCTACACAATGTGGCACTAAAACCCACTGTCCACCTCCTGGGAACTTCCAGTAACCTGGCAACCATTCATTTTATTGATCATGAGCCCTCTCTTGGATTCTGAAGGCAAGGACCTTTGCTCCCATTCCAGTGCTGAATGTCAGGGTTGCTTCTTTCCACCACAAACCTGGTTGGTAGTTCTGGATGTCGGGAGCGTCCCACCTGACCTTGTAGAAACCCCTCTGCGCTACTGTTTCCCTTCACTAGCTCTCCCTCCCTTCCTCTCCCCACTACCTCCTTCCTCTGGCTGACCAAATGCAATTCTTGGATCTTACATTTCGCTGATGGTCGAGTTTTCTGTCTCCCACACTTTTCCTGCCTCTGTCCCACTGCTTGGTGTTTTTCCAGATCCAGTTCTCAACCTCTTATCTCTCTCCCTTTCTCACTGCCAGCTTCAGCCTGTCCACCTCCTTCCCTGCACACCTTTTGTTCTCCTTTTGTTCTCACAGCCCAGCCATTGCGGAAGCTGTACTCTTAAGAACTGTCTCCAGTATAAGGACTGAGCAAAACCCCAAATCCTAACTCCAAATCCTCCCTCTTCCAACAATTTTAATCAGACCTTTATTTGGCTTTCCCAGTTCTGTGACCTTGAACCCTTTCCCTACCTTGGCAGTTCACACTTAATGGAACTGCTAGATTGCAAAAGCCATTAATAAAAGTGCGGGCCCCCAAATTCAAAGTAATTGTGATTGTTGTTAGGCAGTGGCTTCTGTTACAGTGTAAGTTTGGGGCAAGAGGAGGCTTGTCCACAGGTCTCAGCACACAACCCTCCTTGTTAGTAAATACCCCTTCCTCACAGGGACACTGAAAGCTTCATGTCACCGCCATCACTAGCCATCAGGCCTCCCAATACTTAACACTCTGAAGTGAGACATGCTGAATACTACGGGAATCAGGCCACCCAAAAAATGCTTAGGAAGAGAAAGTCTTCCGCATCCCGTCCCCCGGGACACCCAGGCTTCTAGTCAGTTGTCGGCTGTGGCCTCAACCCCTGCAGATGGCAGCCTGCACCGCAGAAAGACAACTTTTTTTTTTTTTTCTCCTTCTCTCCTGCTCTTGGCTGTAATTGGTTTCAGGCTGAAACAACCACGTCCCCACCAGGAAAGGAGGGCATTGGGGCGGGGGCGGAGGAGAGGCTGTGGGAGAAGGGAGGGACCAAAGGAGAGAGCAGAGGGCTTCCAACCCAGTTCGCCGACTAAGCAGAAGAAAGATCAAAAAACGGAAAAGAGAAGAGCAAACAGGCACTTTCAGGAGCAATCCCCTCACCTCCAAGCCGACTGCGCTCTAGGAATCCAAATTCCGTGCCTCCCGAAGACAAAGGCGCCCAAAGAGAGCGGCGGCGCGACCCCAGGGCGTGGGCCCCACCGCGGAGCCCGCACCGCCCGGCGCCCCGACGCCGCGGACCATGTCTCCCGCCCCTCGACCCTCCCGCAGCTTCCTGCTCCCCCTGCTCACGCTCGGCACCGCGCTCGCCTCCCTCGCCTGGGCCCAAGGCAGCAACTTCAGCCCCGAAGTAAGTGAGCTCCTCCGGCCCTTCCCGGAGTTGTG